TCCTTGGAACCAAATCGAAAATCAAATTCAAATCGCGAAGTAGAACTAGTGTCGCCGATGTAACTCGTGAAGCCGTAACATCGGGGAAAATAAGGATAACTATAGTCGGAGAAAGAGTATCGCCTAACTAAGGCCCAAACTATCAGACTCAAGTCTGCTACACCAGTCTACAGGGATCTAAGCCGGCCGAGCGACGTCAGAGCAAAACTAAGGCCTATTGGATCCGAATAATGTATTTCTAAGGCAAGCCCTAGTCAAACCTAAACTAAGGCCCAACATGCTTCAAGTAAACAATAATTAAGCATTCAAGCACTCCACATAGCGAGGAGGGTCCGTTAATAACACAAAGCATGCTCACATTTACCCGATAATTCTCGAAATAGGCTGAAAACATGATTTCCAAACACCTATGCATGATTCAATCACTACCAACCCAAATCCCAACTAATCAACATGCATTCACACTCTCAAGCTCAATCTAAGAGAGGGAAACCGTAGCCTACCTGTAAGCCGATCACACGCGCTCCAAAATCACTCCTTCGGAGCTTTCCCTTTCCGAACGGTCTCAAAACGTTACCCCGCTATCAAAAATAGAGTCACAACATTAATACGGTCATTTAGACACTAAAATCACAACAAATGGAGACGGGTCAATTTTGGAGTCAAAACGGGAATCGTGAGACCCGCGCAGGAAATTCCGAAATTAACCCCAAAAGTGGTCCTAACCAGTTCCCCCAGCTCATGTCCCAAAATGGGACACAATTCGGGGCTCGGGAACAACACAATATCAACATGCAACTAAAACCCAAATTTTCTAAAAAATAAGAAATGGGACAGCAGTTGAATCAGTGTATTTTCCAGAAACTGAATATCTACAGTGAAATGCGACAACACCACGATGTTCTCCTCGAAAAAACACTCAAGATAGCCTCAAAAATCACTGAAATCAGACATAAAATGGTTGAGAAAACAAGTCTCAAAAATTTCCAAAATTAAGCTCACAAAAAGGGTGCGATAGCAGGTATTTTTCAAAAATTACCTCAAACGGGGACTCCAAATCACTATTCGAGCTCACCAACAAGTTGTCCTCGAAAAATCTCACAAATTTGCCTGTTGAATCACCCAAATCGGTTAAGATATGAGAGAGTTATGAGGGTTTGAAGTTTTGGAAAATTGGCTGATATATCTGCAATAAATAACAGATTTTCTGCAACCTTTTCAAAAACTAATAACTCCGACGGGGTGAACCGAACTCGTTCGGAACCCCGTGCAAACAAACGAGATATGCAACCATACCAAATTCAATATTCCAGATTCAACGGCGCAGTCAAAATTTCCATCAGAGGTCATTTCGATAAAAAGTGGGTCCCACTTCCAAAAGCCATTTTAAGTCAAAACCCACAAAAGGGCTCAAAAAGATATCGAAAACCTCCAGACACAAAAGAAGGGTCAATCTAGACCAAACTCGACATTCCGGAGCTAACCACGCTGACGGAATTCTCATCCGAGCGAGTTTACTCAGAATGCTGACCAAAGTCAAACTTAGGCTTAAACTTAAAATTAAAACGCCTAATCGCACCGACTCACATTGAAAACCTCGGGAGTCATGACGACCATGCTACTAGCCTAAAATGACCCTTCCAGAGCTGATGGAATCGTCAAAATTGGATTCCGATGTCATCTTCTTGAACTTTTGATCGAAAATGATCGTTCAAGGTTCATAAGCTCCAAAACACAAAAACTCGCACCAAGACCAAACGAACGACCAGGTGACCGAACTGTCATTCCCAACAAGTCATAAATGACTTGGGGTCGCTATAGGAAGGCTCTAAACGACACACAGAAGGCAAGACACAGAAATGACCATGAGGGTCATTACAGTATTCTATTAACTCTTGTTATTTCTTGTGTTTATGTTATTATCTATTTTAGGGAGTTGGCATGTATAACTTAGGCAACACATGTTTTTTGAATGTAGTTGTGCAATCTTTCATGCATACCGTAGTGTTTCTTCAACTACTTGCATCAATCGATCATGTATTGCCATGTGATAGTAAGTATCAACTTAAAATTTCCCTTTATTTTCATCCATTTTTAATGGATTTTATACCTTAGCTAATGTCATTTCTTGTTGCAGCTCACATGGAAGGACTCTGTGTAGTTTGCATGATTCAACATCTAGGTTGACATTTCTATGTCTTGTGCCTTTGATTATGTCATGCCAATGAAAATTGTTAGCACTTGAGAGGTATGCTTTATCATATCTTGTTTATGATTTAACATGAGAGATATCCCGCATGTTATACATACACTCACTTGGACACGAGTTGGTTCACGTGAACCTATGCCCTAGTCATTTATTTATTTCTTTTTGTAGTTTCGTTTAATTTTACAACAAGGGTTGAAATAACATTCTTATCAATAAAGTACACAATAGATAATTTTCCTAATATAATCGTTTTTAAAGTAGGAAAATTCATCGAGGATAATTGTAAAATGAATGCTACTTTTTTTTACAATTTGTTTGTCAATTTGTACTTTGTACCTTTGTGTCAACTGTGTACCTTATATTTCTTTGTGATCCTTAACTTTATGAAAATATCAGATTTTTCGTCTTACTTTGATGGGAACCAATAAGAAGATGCACACGAATTCCTTCCGTGCTTTCTATATCAACTTGAAAGTTGTTGTAACAATTCAGAGACAAAAGACAACATTGTGAAGGAGGCCTTTGGTGGTCTCCTTGTGAGCAAGGTAAACATTTATGTGTTTTTTCTCTCTATTTTACTATTGTTGTTTTTGTTTTTAATTTGAGCCAAGTGTCCATCAGAAATATCCTCTATATCTCCCAAGGTAGGGGTAAGAGTTGTGTATAATCTGTAGGTCATGCTTGTAAATGTGCAAATTATATTGTTAATCTCAATATTATATTAGTTTATAAGTTATTTATTTGTGTAGATTACTACAACTTTCAAGTATTTATTACTTCATTTTCTATGTTTTAGAATATTAATAATTGTTACAAGTTACGTTTAGATTATTAATATTTATTCCTTTACAAAATTTACTCTTTTTCTATTTTTATTTAATGATCAAATATTTTAAAAGGTTCATGTCATAAATTCAATGATAATCATTTTGACTGTGCAAAGCGGGGATAAATATATATATATATATATATATATATATATATATATATATATATAATGTGTGTGTGTATGTATGTATGTATATGTTTGTGGAAATAAAATCAAAATACGCAAACACTCAATCAGCCTTTTGAGGGTAATTATATCAATGTAAAAATGATAGTGTTACTAGGAAACATATAAAGAAAATTTATCGAAGATTACTATTTCTGAGTTTTTCCCACCTTAAGATATATCATCTTGTTATCTTTTTTATACTCTATTTAAGGAGGTGTTCTTATCATTTTGGTTAATTTATGTCAAGACTATTAAAAAAAAATAGAACCTACTTTTTTTTTTCCGTTAATAATCAAATATCTAGAAAAGCTTTTACAGTAAATTCAATGAAATCATAGATCACGTGACATAGGCAAAACATGCATACTGTGTGTGTGGAGGAGAGGGGGAGGGAGGATTCAGGAGGCAAGAACTCAAAAAGTCACTCACTATTGATAATTAACAAACAATGCCATGTTTTTCTTGTAACAAATTTATAAGTTCACCCAAGTTTGTTTATATATCTTCAAAAGTCACTCTATTGATATTTTATCAACTAAATATGACATGTCATTTTATTTAGTTTTCATGAACTTTCTGTCTTTTTGAATCCATGAATCAATAAACTACGATCTGATTCAACCCTAGACATAACCCAAACAAATAAAAACTTGCATTAACTTGTAAATTTTATAAGAGTAGTGTTTATTTTTATGAATACAAATAGATTAAATCTCATATTAAAAAGAGAAAATATTAATTCACATAAATTCATCCATTAAAAAGATTAATGAAATGTACCATGGTATATGAAATTCGCATTCTACGTTGCAAAAAAACATGAGTAATTAAAAAGCGATACACGTGCTAAGATTTATCCAATATTTAAATATTTACTGCAAATATTCGCATTAATACTTACATTAAAATATATAAGTATGCCATAACATTTGGCAAGAGCAAAAATTACAATTTCCTACGTGATTATTTTGAGCAAATAAGTTTAATTTAAGTTATGAGTTAGGATTAGGTCTAGTAATTGATTATTGCAGTATGGATTGAAAAAAAATGGTTGTATTGACTAAATAAATTTGCTCGTTCAAATATTTAATATGGTGACTTTTAAATAGGTATAAATAAAGTTGAGTGACATTCTTATTAAAAATAAAGAAGAAAACATGACTTAATGAAATAATTATTAATAGTTAAGTGACCGTTATATCATGGTATTTAGAAAATCTTCTAATTAAGACAATCACACTAAATTTCATCACTTTTCTAGTCGACAAATTCCCTTTTCAAGTGTCCCCACCACCCCCACCCCAAAACCCTATATATATCCCTTCCATTTCAAAACCCTCCTACCTATCAAAAGCCTCTGTAATAACTCTCAAGCAAAAAAAAAAAAAACATCCTCTCAAAATCCCCAAATTCCTTCAAAATTCAAATCCTTATAGATTTAAAAAAAGGACACAAGATTTATTGCTTTTCTTGATTTCATCTCCAAAGAAAAACCCCCTTTTTTGTATTTGTTATTTTTCTCATCATTTCAAATCACATCCTTTTCTTAAAAATCTTCAAAAATCAATCTTTTCATTTCTCTTTGTTTTTGTTGTTTTCTTGAAATCTCAATGGGAAACGTTATTGCAGAGAATCTGACTTCACCTGATCATCCAACTTTGAAATCCAATGATATTGAGAACAAAAATATCAATTTTTCATCGGTGAAAATTGAAGTTGAAGAAGAAGAACAAAAAAAAAAAGGATTTAGGTTTGGTTGATGGGTCATCGGGTCGGATCGAATCTGCTCCAACAATGCTCACTAGTGCTGATTCGGATTCAATTGGCTATATTATTTCTTCAGATAGTAGTGGGTATTCGTATTCAGATGGGGATGAATGGTCTCCTTTAAAAGGTGAACCTAGTTCTTCAATTGTGCCCATTTGCTTAACTGAGCCCGCGAATTTCAGAAAGATAGTTGAGGAAGAAACTAAGCTTATTGAGTATAAGCCTGTTAAAATAACGGTATGATTCAAACTTTTAACCACTTTTAAGTTGTACAATTTTACAATTTTAGCCTATTTTTATGACACCAAATTATTAAACCATTAGTTGTGTAGTGAAATGGAGTGCGCTAACCACTTTTAAGCTATTCCAAGGGATACAAATTATACTTCTAATCTTTCTATGAGATATTTATCAATCAACTACAAAGAGAAATAGCACATGATAACCACTTTTAATCTCTTTTCAAGTGATACAATTTACTCTGAAATAGCGTGGTCTAACAACTTTTAAACTCTTTTAATTGATCCAATTTACAATTTTAGCCTATTTTTATGCAATCTTAATCATGTAGTAATACAGTGCAGGATAACCATCTTTAAGCTCTTTCAAGTTTTACATTTTACAATTTTAACCTATGTTTATGACATCTTAATCGATCAATGAGGTAGTAATATAGATAGGGTAGGGTTTAACAACTTTTAAGCTCGGTAATTGAAAAAATAACCACTCTTATGATAAAAGTTTTAATTTTAAAAATATCCACTTTTCAGCATGAGGCTAACTAATATTAGGTATACTTTGCAATGTCATACATTACTAAACAACCTCTCTACTTTCATAAGTTCTGCATATACTCTACATTGTGAGATTAGATTGAGAGTTTTGTTGTTGTTGTTGTTGTTATTGAATTATCATACACACACACACACACACATATATATATATATAAACCTCCTATTTCTACTATATGTTTCTTTGTGTGTATTATAGCTATTAACTCGTTGTTGTTTTTAGGGCATTGGCATGTGTAATTTAGGCAACACATGCTTTTTAAATGTGGTTGTGCAATCTTTTATGCACACTGTCGTGTTACTTCAGCTCCTTAGATCTATCGATCATGTATCTCCATGTCAATGTAAGGATCAACTTAGATTTTTCCTTTTAATTTGATCCATTTTTAGTGTCTTTTACCTTAGCTTATCATCATTTCTTGTTACAGCTTACTATCACGGATTTTGTGTAGTGTGCATAATCCGAGAGCTTATTGATGTTTCGATATTTTATGGGAGGTTTTCTGTCAGGCCAACGAAACTTGTCAGTCAATTGAAAAGTATATCCCGACCTAGTTATTTATTTATTTCCTTCTCAAGTTTACTTTAGTTTGCATTATAGAGAACATTTAACTATCACTATGTACCTTATATTTCTATGTGTTTCTCAACTTTGTGAAAATATCAGATTTTTCGTCTTACTTCGGTCAGAACCAACAAGAAGATGCACACGAATTCCTACAGTGCTTTCTTAATCAACTTGAAAGTTGTTGCGACTATTTAGAGACAAAAGACAACATTGTGATGGAGGTCTTTGGAGGTCACCTTGTGAGCAAGGTAAGAATTTGCATGTTTGTTCTATCTATTTTATCTTAGCTTCTGTTCTCCAGTTGTTTTCATTTTTTAAGGTGTTTTGTAATGCATTTACTTTAGCTGAGGGTCTATAAGTAACATAATCTCTACCTCCCAAGGTAGGGGTAAGTTTTGTATATAATCTATCCTCTCCAGACCCCAAGTGTATACATTTTATTTACATTGTTAGTCTATTTTTCTCCATTTCCAGCTCCGCTGTTGCAATTGTGGTCATACATCTGTCACACGCGAGCCTCTAATCGACATAAGCTTGGAGATTGAGGACGTTGACAGTGTACCAGACGCACTTGAATCTTTCACTAAAATTGAGAAAATTAAATTTTCTTGTGAAAGGTGAAAGACACAGGGGCCATTTGGGAAGCAACTCCTCATCGATCATGCTGTTGCTACCCTACATTTGAAGAGATTCAAAAATAATGGGTTAGTTTCTCAGAAGGTAGGAAAGCATGTTTTATTTCCTCTGGAATTGGACATGCTTCTTTATACCAATGACATCAATAACGTGAGTATCTTAATTTGGATTTTTACGAACATTTTATCTTTTGTTAGCAGTTAAATGATGTTGTTTGAAAAATTTTCTTTTTTTAATAGGAAGAAATGAAATACGATCTCTACGCAGTTATAGTGCATTCTGGACCTTCAATCTCTTCAGGACACTATTACACCTTCATTCGTTGTGCTCCAAATGAATGGTACAAATTTGATGACGAGAAGGTACGGAAAATAGTAGAATTTCCTAGTTTTGTTAGAAAATATATGTGTTTACGACAACTAACTTCATATTTTATTTAATTGTTTTAGGTTGATTATGTTCAAGAAGATCTTGTTTTGGCAGAAGAGGCATATATCATGTTTTATGCAAAGCGAGGCACTCCGTGGTTTTTCGATTACAGTCAAACCCACAGGCCCTTCGTATGTTTTGTTACCCCCACAACTTCCAATGATACTTCAGATGGGACATCTCTGAAGCCTGAACTTAACAAGATTGAGGATAATGATTCTCATGGTAAACTCATCTTCTACTTCTATTTATTCCAGAATACATGTAATTGCCTTACAAAATATAGAAAGCTTGTTTCTCCCCTTTTTGAAAATACACAATATTCCACTATTTGCAACTACTTAAGTTTGATATATTGTTGTTGTTGAGTTACTCTCTATAAGAAATAACCTCTTTATATGTTCGAGGTATATGTAAGGTCTGTATACACTCTACAGTGAGTTGTTGGTTTTCACTTGCACAAATTCAACTTTCTTTTTTTCCAAATTAAGATATATGTTCAAATTTAATATTTGAAAGCTCATCTTCAAATCTGAATACATATCTTCTTTCAATTTCAATCAAATTGTGTTCACACACAAACTAACTATGTTTTTTATAACATCAACAGATCAGGTTTATTGCGAAGATCAATTACAGGACGTGGAAATAAAGCAGAATGAAGAATCAATGGATACATTGAACCGTGACTCACATGGAAGTTCTTTGAATGAAAAGAAGAGGAAGCTGGAAGATTGAAAATATTGTGCACTGGCAGGTTTTCCTCCTGTAATGGCGCGAGTAGCTGCAACAACAAAATGAGTAATTTGAAATCATAAAGCAGTCTTTTTGATATAATGCTTAAGGTTTCGATAGATGTATTCAAAATTTCGAGTTTACTGATTTAAAGATAGAAGCAATATCTTATTAGATTTTGTATGAATTATTTCTGGATACAAAAATAATCTTTTTGGACATCATATAAAATAAAATAGAAGTTACTATCTTTCCATATATAGTTTTGGCTAGCTACTGTTCTCTATCAAACCTGTAATCAAGGTCGGCTCTGCGATGTAAATAATAAGCCATATGCCTTAGGCCCCCAATTTTCGGGGGCCTCAAATTTTTAGTAAGAACAAAATTATGGTCAATATACAAATTAATAGTTGAAAAAAGTGTTGAACATAGTGAAGTGCATATTCTTTTCTACTAACTTCTTTAAAGTTTCGAGCATTACAATAAATTTATTAAAGTAACAACCAAATTATGAATTTCTTGAATAAGAATTTATGGTTCTAACTCTTAATTTTATTAAAATTTGTCACCTTATTACTTATAAAATTATGTTGACAATTCATAGAATTATTGTCTTAGTGAAAGGATGTTTTTCAACCTATAATCTTACCTAAAATTAATTATTGAAAAAAAGTCAAAGAAATCATTTATATAAAAATATATTGAGTACTAATTTGCATCTAAAAAGTGGAAGAAAAATTCATGTTTTAAATAAATACATATGAAGTTTGATTAGACTTTTTTTTACGCCTCCACTTATGTTGACCAGCCTCTGCCTGTAATTAGAACGCTACTCAACTCCAGCCTAGTTTCATGGTTGAAATATTCATTTTGAAATGGATTAAAAAGGAATATATTATAAATAAGTTAAAACGGATAAAGTAATACTTTACTGAAAAATGATTTTCTACCATAGAGGTTTGTTATCACGTTTATCATACCTTAAATATATTAGTCTTTATGCATGCATAAAATAGATAAACTTAAAAGTTAATATTTTTACTTTAACTACATAGAGGTTGGTTAGAACAAAAATACATTATCATGATAAATATAAGCCTATATATTAAATGACTTATTTAATGGTACAAGAATAGTATGGAGAAAGAGGTGGACCCACACTTGCAAGTTGGGGTGCACTTGCATCCGTTAACTTCAAAAAAAATCATGTCTATATATGTATATCTATCTTAAGAAACTGACAAAAAAATTAGTATATAATCAATATTGTATCCAACAAAAGCATATGAGTACCCTTGTTATGTAAGTACAAGCTATGGGAACCACCCCTGAGACAAGTGTTCAAATTCAGCTAAAGCCCTTTTTTTCTATTTTTTAATTTTAAGTTTAGATAGGTAATAATAATATTTTCAGTATAATTTCATAAGTGGGGTATGAGAATAGCATGACGTATGTAAACATATATTTCTATCTTTGTGAGGTATAGAGATTGTTTCTAATAGACCCTTGACTTAGAAGAACATTTATTGAAACATAATTGCAAGAATAATATAAAATCAAAATAACAATATAAAATAATAAGAAAAAATAATGGTAGTAAAGAGGAAAGATAGACATTACAAGGAACAAGTAACAATTAATAAAACAATCAAGTAAAAAACATACCCACGTAATAAATAATAATAATAATAATAATAATAAAGAGAGAATTATCAGAAGAGACTACTATAACCCCTACCCCACCCCGACTCTTCCCCTTAAAAGTGCTATAAAACTTGGCTACTTACAAAACCTCTACCATAATTCTCAACCTTCAATTTTTTCAATATATAGAATCACGTTCTCAGTCAATTGAAACAAATAGTAAAGGATAACTAATTTAACGTAGTTATCAATATTCATTTTTATAAGAAAAATCTACTCTTTTAATTTTTATCTTTACATAATTAGATATTTAGAAAAGCTATATTTTAGATTGCACGGAGCAAGTTTACTAGTTTTATAAATCTGATGTATGTGGAAGAGGATTTAACTAGTTGAATTTTACATAAATATATATATATATATATGTTATAGTGTATGTGTGTGTGATGAGTGTTAAATAGTGTAGGGTTCTTAACTTTATCAATTCATAAGACTCAAATACTTTAGAAAGAGAAATTAATCTTGAGAAGATAACTATATTGATTAAACATTGATGACGTTATCTTGGACAATATATGGAGAAAATTTAACAAATATTACTACTTTGTTGTTTTCCTGGAGATACGTCACCATGAAATTTTTTCTATTGTAATATCCCGCCTTAGAAAGAGCTAGATTTAGAAATAACTAATTTAGAAAGAACTAATTGGAGATTTGTTCAAGTTAAGCTTAAGTTGTGAGTTTTTGGTCAACTTCAAACGATCATAACTTTTAGCACATGATGTGTTAGGTGGCCCATAAGATATCAAATGAAAGATCTCTAAGTCCTCTTTCCAACACCGTTGAGTTTGCTAAAATCTAAGTTTGGATGAGGGATATATACCCATTTGAGTTCAGCCTCTTCAATTAAGGAAAGTTACCCAAATTAATGAGGGGTATTTTAGTCTTTTCCTTACCCCATAAGCTTGAGCATTTTTAGTAATATTTGGGGGTCTAAACTGATTTGGTTCAGTTTTCACAATCCTAAAATACGCTTAGGGTTTTGAGAGGAGTTCAAGAGGAGAAAAGAGGAAAGATTCAAGGTGTTCGTCAAAATTCTTGAGATTTATCGAGGAATTTCTCCAAGGGTTTGATCCCTAAGAGGTACGTAAGTTGTTCATAGTGATGGATATATTTACCCTCACCCAAATCATGACTTTCTTGAGTTAATTTTTTCCATGATAATCCATGAATTGAGATTCTTGATTAGTTCTTGAAGTTTCATTCGTAAATCTTTATTATTGAGGTTTCGATGAGTTCTTGAGATGAATGTTAGGAGTTTGAGGGTTGATTATGAGTGTATTTCCGTTTACTAAGGTTGGGTATTCGAATCTAAGAGAGTTAGGAAGTAACCATTCAATTCTAGGTGAATTAAAGCCAAAAAATGAAGAAGAAAATTCATTAGAAATTCTGGGCAATGGGCTGGCGCGCCGCACAAGCAATGCACCAGAAAAGAGGTTATGTAGTTTAAGGGCTGGAGCCCCGTGCCACTTAGTGCACCGGGGTTGTCTTCCCCGCCGCTTTTTCCATCGTTTGTCCCGTGTGCGTTCTTTTAAAGTATACCCTCACTCATTTCTAATTCTAACTACTTGAAACTACATCAAAAAATCAAGAGATCCTTCATAACATGAATCATAACACTTGTATTCTTAATTCAAATTCAAGGTAGAGTTAAGGGTAAAGTCTTGATAGTTCTTTTGAGTCATTTTGAGAAGTCTTTTAAAATCTTGTAAAACTTGTCTTAAGACTTAAGTACTTGAGTATGAGGATTTCAAAATGAACATATGTGAACTATGTATTCCCAAGAGTAAATGTTTTTACATTTAAAATGAGGAGGAAACCGTGATTTCCAAATGAGTTCATGAGGAGTTTTGAGTATAATCTCTATTAAGAGAATCTTTTGAGTAATAATCTCAAAATTTGAGGATGAGGAAATATTTTTCAACATATGAGCTGAGTATAGTAGTATTGAGAACCGATATGGGGACGAGTTCAAATAACTCAAAGTCCTCATAAACCATGTAGTCAACGTGGGTAGAAAGGGTCATACTTTTTAAATTATTCCTTATTGCTTTTTAAGCATAACTTAGTGGATCCACTTAGTTGAGGATGTCTTATACTTCGGCAAGGTATAGAAAAATTCTGGCAGTGTGGGTGAGATGTTGTATCATCACATACCTCATAGTGATGGTTGTCGGTTAGATAATCTCCCAGACATACAAATTGAGTTATCATTGTATTTTTAAATACTTTGAGCTATTATCTACTGTTTTAAAAGCTTTCTTTATAAGGCATCTTTATTAATGCTTTATATTGAACTGAGTTGAGCATCTCTGAGTTTGAGTATCCTTGAGTACTTCTGAGATAAGTAAATTTTAAGTATCCTTGATTATTCCTTGAATATTCCTTGAGTTGAGGTTGAGTTGAGTTGAGATGAGGTAAGTATGTTCCTTTCCTTCTAGCTCAAACTTATGTTATGCTTTAGATTTCCTTTTGCATGCTCGTACATTCAATGTACTGATGTTATTGGCCTTTATAATTTCATGATGCATATACAGAAGATCAGGGTAATCAACAAACGCTTCATTGATACCAATTGCAGTTCCAGAGTTGTTTGGTGAGCCTTCTTGCTTTCAAAGGATCCCTTATTTATTTCTATTATTTCAGTTTTGTCAGGATGATCGGGAGACTTGTACCGACATCCCTCATAGTATTAGAGGCTTCATAGATAGATAGTAGTAGTTAATAAGTCTGTTTCATTTCCATTTTTAATGTTTGAGACTCGAGTTGCCTTCTCTTTTCCAGTTGAATGTTCTTATACATTTCTGAGTTTATCATTTTGAGACATTTGAGTTAAAGTTTCTACTTTTGAGTTTATCTATTATAAGTAAGTCTTCCGCCGTAAGTTCAGCCAGGCCAAGGGTTCGTTTGGGGACAACAATGGGTATTGAGTGTCAGTCGCGTCCAAGGTGTAGGCTCGAGGCGTGATAAACTTAGCATCAAAGCCTAGAGTTCAAGAGTCTTAGGGTGTCTATGAAGCCATGTCTTTGGATTCCTAGTTAGCGGTGTGAAGCGCGCCAAATCTATAATTATGAGGTTGTCACATTGAGGAAACAATTCCCTTCTTTCATACTCTTTTCATGTGTTAGAGTTCAGCTCTATAAAGTTTCTTTCTAATTCATTCGTGCGTGTATCTTTCAGATCATTCATCCACTAAGAGTTGTTCGAGGTCGTCCTGCTAGGAGGAATGTTGATCCCCAGGATCAAGTGGTACCCAATGCACTAGAAGTGCAACCCCAAGGAGAGGTCACTAATGTTGA